CTCTAAGAGCCAGAAAACAAACGCCGCCGTCTCCTTCCTGGGGACGGGGTCGCCCCGGGCTGGGGGCTGCGGGACCCCTGGGGAGGGGAGGGGGGGGGAGCACCCCGCAGCTTTGGGGAGGGAGGCGCAGATTTATGCACTTTCGCTTTTTGTACTTTACCTCTGACCCTCGCGTGGGGACAGGCGCTGGGGGTGTCCCCGTCATGCCCCCGGCCAAACTCCTCCGCAAACGTTTCTGCTTCCCGCGGGGCTCCGCGGGCCCTGGGGTGCCCCCTCCCCACGGCCCCGGGCTGCGCAGCCCCTTCTATTTTTGTACTCTTTGTAAATCGCTATTTATACAAAATCTGGCTGGGCTTTTAGTCTTGCTCCTGGGACCGCGGGGTACGGCACAGCCGGGTGTGATGCAGCGCGTGCTGGAGCCCTTGCACGTGCAGTGCTGGTGTCTGCACACCCAGCGTGCTGCACACACACGCTGCGTGCTGGGGGGTGCTCGGGGGGTGCACTGTGTGTGGGGGGGCTGTGGGGGTGCAGGGGGTGGGCATCGTGCATGGGGGAGGCTGGGGGTGCACTGGGTGTGTGCATGGTGTGGGGTGGGGGCTGTGGGTATGTATGGGGGTGTGCATGGGGTGTGTGTGCTGTGCACAGTGTGTAAGGTGTGTGCTGCGTGTGCAAGGGATGCGCTGTGTGTAAGGGATGCACACTGAAGGGTGTGCACTGTGTGTGCAAGGGATGCACGCTGCTTATGTGGTGTGTGCACACTGTGTAAGGCATGCACGCTGTGTGCGTGCTGTGCACGCTGTGTATGTGGTGTGTGCACACTGTAAGGCACACACGCTGTGTAAGGTGTGTGCATGCTGTGTGTAAGGACTGCACACTGTGTAAGGTGTGCACACTGTGTATATGGTGTGTGCACACTAAGGCACACACACTGTAAGGGCTGCACACTGTGCTGTGCATGTTGTGTAAGGGCTACACACTGTGTAAGGTGTGTGCACAGTGTGTGTAAGGGCTGCACACTGTGTGTAAGAGCTACATGCTGTGTGTAAGGTGTGTGCACACTGTGTAACGGCTGCACACTGTAAGGGCTGCACACTGTAAGAGCTACACGCTGTGTGTAAGGTGTGTGCACAGTGTGTGTAAGGGCTGCACACTGGATGTATGGTGTGTGCACACTGTAAGGCATGCACACTGTGTAAGGGCTGTACACTGTGTGTAAGGTGTGTGCACAGTGTGTGTAAGGTGTGTGTAAGGGCTGTACACTGTGTGTTAAGGGCTGCATAGTGTGTGTAAGGGCTGCTCACTGTGTGTAAGGTGTGTGTAAGGGCTGCACACTGTGTGTAAGGTGTGTGTAAGGGCTGCTCACTGTGTGTAAGGTGTGTGTAAGGTGTGTGTAAGGGCTGCTCACTGTGTGTAAGGTGTGTGTAAGGGCTGCACACTGTGCGTAAGGTGTGTGTAAGGTGTGTGTAAGGGCTGCACACTGTGTGTAAGGTGTGTGTAAGGGCTACACACTGTGTGTAAGGTGTGTGTAAGGGCTGCACACTGTGCGTAAGGTGTGTGTAAGGGCTGCACACTGTGTGTAAGGTGTGTGTAAGGGCTACACACTGTGTGTAAGGTGTGTGTAAGGGCTGCACACTGTGTGTAAGGTGTGTGTAAGGGCTGCAGGCCGTGTCCCACACGCTGTGTATTCGTGTGCCCGCCGTGTAACACCCCCCGTGCCCCCCGCTGCTCGCACAGCGCCGTGCACGCGCCCCGTGCCCGCGCCCTGCGTTGGGGCGGGGCGGAGCACCAGGGGGCGTGGCTACACGGAGTGGGCGTGGCTATGAGAGGGGCGTGGCTACCCGAGGGGCGTGTCCCTGACGCCCCCTCCCCGCAGTACCGGCGGGTGCCAGCAGGGGGCGCTGCCGCCGCCGCCGCCTCCCAGAGCCGCAGTCGCGGGCGGTCCCGGCAGGGCCCCGCCGCCCAGAGCCGCTCCGGGCCGGGGCCGAACCGGGCCGGGCCTCGCCGGGCCGGGCAGCGCCGTTCGGAGCCGGGCAGGGCCGCGCCGCTCCGAGGGCGGCCTCCACCGTGCGATGCGATGACCACGTCCACCCTGCAGGTACCTCCCGGCCCTCCCGGCCCTCCCGGGCCCGGCCCCGCCGCTAGGCCCCGGCTGACGGCCGCTCCCCCCCCCGGCAGAAAGCCATCGACCTGGTGACCAAGGCCACGGAGGAGGACAAGGCCAAGAACTACGAGGAGGCGCTGCGGCTGTACCAGCACGCCGTGGAGTACTTCCTGCACGCCATCAAATGTGAGCACCCCCCTCAAAACCCCCCTCTACCCAGCACGGGTCCCCCCCCCAACAGGCCTCGGGGTGACGGCTCCGGGGCCCCGCAGATGAGGCGCAGAGCGACAAGGCCAAGGAGAGCATCCGAGCCAAGTGCGTGCAGTACCTGGACCGCGCCGAGAAGCTGAAGGATTACCTGCGCAGCAAGGAGCGGCAGGGCAGGAAGCCCGTCAAGGAGGCCCAGAACTGACAACAAGGGGTGCGTGGGGGGGCTCCCCGCAGAGCTGCCCTCCCCCGCGGCACGGCCTCCCTTCTACTCACCTCCTCCCCTCTCCCCAGGAGCGACAGCGACAGCGAGGGAGAGAACCCAGAGAAGAAGAAGCTGCAGGAGCAGCTGATGGGTAGGGGGCCGGCTGGCTGCGGTGGGTGCACTGCTGTGTGCAGCGCCCCAAAGCCATCGCAGGGGGTGGTGGCTGGTGGTTAGGGCTTGGTGCCGGGGGGGGGGGTTGGGTGGGGCTGGCTGCTTGGGGTTGTGGGGGGGATGTAGGGGGGACAGGGGGGCTCTCACCGCCGCCTCGCAGGTGCCATCATGATGGAGAAGCCCAACGTGCGGTGGAGTGACGTGGCCGGCCTGGAGGGAGCCAAGGAGGCCCTGAAGGAAGCCGTGATCCTGCCCATCAAGTTCCCACACCTGTTTACCGGTGAGAGTCACCGGCACCCGTGGAGAAGGGCCTCGGGCCCCACAGCAAGGGGCAGCAGCTGGGGCATGTGCACATGGGGAGGTGACCCAGCAGCAGCGGGGACATTTGTCCCTGCGGGCCCCAAGGTCCCTGCACAGAAGCTTTGACACCGGGCTCTGTCGCAGGGAAGCGCACGCCCTGGCGAGGGATTCTGCTCTTCGGGCCCCCTGGCACTGGCAAGTCCTACCTGGCCAAGGCTGTGGCCACCGAAGCCAACAACTCCACCTTCTTCTCCGTGTCGTCCTCAGACCTGATGTCGAAGTGGCTGGGAGAGAGCGAGAAGTAAGCTGTGCCAGAGGGGTGCTGCCAGGGTGGGCTGGGGCAGGAGGGGCTCGCACCCCTGGGCAGCGGGTGGGGAGACGTGGGGCCCTGGCCCCTCGCCCAGCGCTTGGGGACCCACCCCCTGCCTCTGTGGCCAGGCTGGTGAAGAACCTCTTTGAGCTGGCGAGGCAGCACAAGCCCTCCATCATCTTCATCGACGAGGTGGACTCGCTGTGCGGCTCCCGCAACGAGAACGAGAGCGAGGCGGCGCGGCGCATCAAGACGGAGTTCCTGGTGCAGATGCAGGGTGCGTGGGGCTCCCCCGGCGGGTGCACTACGTGGGGTGGGGGAGCACGGGGCAGGGGGGGTTTGGTGGAGCCAACCCTTCAGGGCTCCCTCTCAAGTGTCCGCCTTCTGTTTCCACGGGCAGGTGTGGGCAACAGCAGCGATGGGATCCTGGTGCTCGGCGCCACCAACATCCCCTGGGTGCTGGACTCGGCCATCAGGAGGAGGTGAGCGGTGCACAATTCCCCCTCAGTGCCCCAAAACGTGGCACCACTGCTGTGCCCACTGTGGGCTGCCAGCTCTGGCAGCAGTGTGTGCGCACCCCCTGACCCCCCCCCGTGCCACGCTCAGGTTCGAGAAGCGCATTTACATCCCGCTGCCCGAGGAGGCGGCGCGCGCCCAGATGTTCAAGCTGCACCTGGGCAACACGCCGCACTCGCTGACGGACGCCAACATTCACGAGCTGGCCCGCAAGACCGAGGGCTACTCGGGGGCCGACATCAGCATCATCGTGCGGGACGCCCTGATGCAGCCCGTGCGCAAGGTGCAGTCGGCCATGCACTTCAAGAAGGTGAGCGGGGGGCCGGGGGCTGCTCCCTGAGGGGGGTGGGCGCCGGGTGCCCCCCTCCCAACGCTTCCTTCCTCGGCACCAGGTCCGCGGGCCCTCCCGCACCAACCCCAACCTCATCGTGGATGATCTCCTGACGCCGTGCTCGCCCGGGGACCCGGGGGCCATCGAGATGACCTGGATGGAGGTGCCCAGCGACAAGCTGATGGAGCCCATCGTCTGCATGGTGAGTGTGGCCCCGGCACGGCCCCGGCACGGCCCCGGCACCCAGCACCCGGCCCAGCAATGCTGCAGCCCCGGCCCTACCGGTTCCTCCTCCCCAGCCACCGCCTGCCTGCGGGCCTGGCGGAGGCGCACGGTGGCTGGAGCAGGCTCAGCACCTCACGCGCTGCAGCAGGAAGCCCCAGGTCCCCCCCCGTCTGCACCCTGGTGCCCGGTGGGGACGGGGGCACGGCCTCAGCACGCTGCCACCCCCCCCTGAGCGCCCACCCCCCTCCCTGTGTTGCAGTCGGACATGCTGCGCTCCCTGGCCACCACCCGCCCCACGGTGAACGCCGAGGACCTCCTGAAGGTGAAGAAATTCACAGAGGACTTTGGGCAGGAGGGATAAGGGCCGCGGCGGCGGGTGGTGGGGCTGGGGCACCCTCGCCACCCCCACCCCCATCTCCCCGCAGCCCGGCAGGCGGCCGTGCCAAACAGGCTCACCCGCAGCTCACAGCTCAACCCCGCGCACTGCAGCACCCGGCGGGGCGGGGGGGAGCGCTGCCCGAGGGGGGGGCGGGCTGACACTACTGGGGGTGGGGGCGCTAGTGCAGCCGGGCGCTCCTCCTCCCGCTCCCCTCTCTTCTTCCTGCTCTTTTTTTATTTTTTAAATTAATGCTGCTTCGGGTTCTGTCTTGTTTATATGAAAATAAAAACAATCCAAAAGCTTCAGACGGTGCCCAGCCGCAGGACACCCCCTTCCCCTATATCCCAGCAGCCTGCACCCCGGCCCCTTCCCTCCTCCCATGGTGTGGGTGCTGTGGGGGGGGGGACGAGGCTCAGCACCCCGCAGTTTGCAGGCAGGACAGGAGGCAGGGGCTGCCCCATGCTCGGTATTGCCGCGATGGAGCCAGTGCTGGGGGTGCCTGGTGGCTGTCAGTCGAGGAGCTGGCTCCAGGCGGTGTTGGTGAAGGTGCGGCTGTCCATGCGGTCGATGAAGAGCACGCCGTCCAGGTGGTCCAGCTCGTGCTGGATAACACGGGCAGCCCAGCCCCACGCCTCCCAGCTCACCGGCTGCCCGCTCTCGTCCACGCCTGGGGTGGGAGAGCGGGGTTGGACTGGGATCAAACTGGGAAGGGGTTTCGGGGGGGGTACCGGGGGAGCCGTACCGGAGACGTGCACAGCCCAGTGCCTTGGCACGCAGGCGGAGAAGCCGCGGAGGCTGGCGCAGCCCTCGGGCGCGGTGACGAGGCGGGCGTCGAGCACGCGGAGCACGGGGTTGACGAGGACGCGCAGCGGGAAGGGCTCGATGCGCTGGGCACCGCGCAGCGCCGCGGGGTAGTGGCTGCAGCGGGCGGGCGGCAGCTCGGCGGCGAAGACCCGCAGGGGCACACCGAGCTGCGGGGCGCTCAGCCCCAAGCACGGGCCCCGCCGCAGCCCTGCCGCCAACGCCGCCGCCAGCGCCCGCAGCTCGGGGCTGCCCAGGCTCTCCGCGGGCACGGCGGCGGCGGGGGAGCGCAGCACCGGTGTGCCCACCTGGCACGGCTCCGAGAAGGGCGGCACCGGGGGGCCCAGCAGCCGTCTCCGCAGCGCCCGCCAGTACGAGCGCTCCCGGGCCCCCCAGGCGGTGGCCCCGCAGCACCGGGAGCCCCCCGGGGCCGGTCCCGGGAGCAGCCGCCGCAGCGCCACCGCCATCTTCAGGACGGACGTGACGCGAGGGGCGGGGCGGGGGCGGCACCGGGAGCACCGGGGAGGAGGCACCGAGAGGGGGGAGCACCAGGAGCAGCGCCAGGCACGGCGGTGGTGGCACGGCTTTATTGCTGCGGGGACACAGCGGGACCAGGGCACGGACCCCACAACGCGTCCCCAGGGAGCAACCGGGGCTGTGCCCCCCCCGCTGTCCCTTTTCAGCTGTCCCCGGGGCAGCCTCACGCAGGGACAGACGTGGCACCATGTCACCGTGTCACCGTGCAGCTGTCCCTTCCCCGCTAGCTCACGGCTGGCGGTGCGTCCGGCAGCAGAGCCCCCACTATGGGGTCTGTGGGGTCCTCCTGGCCCTGTGCTGCTGGGGGCTCCCCCGGCACAGCCCCCTCCTCCTCCTCCTCCTTTTTCTTCTCCTTCTCCTCCTCCTGCGGTGGGCACGGGGCCGCTGTGGGCACAGGGCTCTGCAGCACCGGCTCCTCCTCGCCCGGCAGCGGCTCTGCCTCCCGTGCCGGCAGGACGGGGTCCAGCAGCTCCCTGATGGCGGCCACGTCGATGCAGCCCAGGCGGCCGAAACGCTGCAGCTGGGCGGGGGGAACACCTGCGGGACACAGAGAGGGGGCTGGGCACGGTCCCGTGGCAGTGGCACCCTGTCCCCGCCGTGACACCTCCCCCAGCAGGGCCTTACCCAGCGCCTGCGCGATCTGGGCCGGAGGGAAGAGAAGCTGGAGGCAGCGGTTGAGGTAGGGGAGCAGATCCTCCAGGAACGCCGTGCAGAACTGCACAAAGAGCTCCTGCTCGCGCCCGCTGAACGCCGCCTCCTCTGCCCGGTGGAAAGCCAGGATTACTTTGGTCACCTGAAGGAGGAAGACAGAGCCGTTAATCCTGTTAATCTCCACGAGCCTGGAGAACCCCCCACAGGAAAACAGCCGCTTCTCCTCCACAGCAACCCGACCACTTGGACAAGGGCAGTATTCTGGGCTCACAGAGACCGCCCTCGCTTTCTGCTGCTCTGCCGAGACAAAGCAGGAGCTGGGCACAGCCCCGAGCCCCAGCACCTCACACCTCACCTTGCCGAGGGCATCCTGCAGGCAGGAGGCCACGTCCTGGGCCAGGGCGATGGGGCAGCAGAGCCGCAGGTCGTTGAAGGCCACCAGGAGGCTGTTGAGGAAGCAGGCGAGGGGCGGGAAGTCCAGCAGCACCATGGGGGGCTGCAGCGTCCCCGGCTGGGCCGTGGGCACCGGCACGGCCGCGGCGCTGCCCAGCACGGCCGGGGCGGAGATGAGCGTGTAGGAATTCATCTCCTCCTGGAACTTCTCCACCGCCTCCTCCACCGCCTTGCTGAAGGTGGCGGCGGCGACGCGCTGGAAGATGGGGGCCAGCTGCCCGCGGAAATCAGCCCCCACCCTGCTGAAGGAGAGCCCGAAGTACATGCACTGCCCCAGCAGCGAGTCCAGGCGGCCGCCCACCCCTCGCTGCAGGTCGCGCTCCAGCACCTGCAGGAACTCGGAGACCTTCTGCAGCACCCAGCCAGTGGAAGATGGCCCCCTCGTTGAGGGCGGGCTGCTCGGGGGCCAGGAGCGGCTCCTCGTCGGAGAAGATGGCACGATACTGAGTGACGATGTCGAAGAGGTGGACACGGCACGCCTCGACCGTCTTGGTGAGGTGGAAGTAGGGGTCGTCCTCGGGGATGGAGGCCTGGATGGAGCGCAGCCAGGCGTCCCGTGCCTGCAGGAACTTGATGCGCAGCTCGGCCTCTGTGAAGACGTCCATGCGGCGCAGGTAGCCGATGACCCGCAGGCAGGCGGGCAGCGGGATGTTGGTGCGGAGCTGCTGGATGAGCTCGGTCAGCATCAGCTGCGTGGACTGGCGCACCTCGGCCACGATGCCCTGGGGAGGGAGAGAATCACAGAGCTGTGGGGGTCGGAAGGGACCTCGGCACATCATCGGGTGCAGCCCCCCTGCAAGGTAGGTTCCTCAGGGCAGGATTAGAGAGAACTCAGCCACGGGGAGAGGGGGACGGCAGCGTGGTGGGTGTACCTGGATGACAGGGGATGCTGCTGTGCTTCTTCTCCAGCCGCCGCACGTAGGCGGCCAGCTCCAGCGCCTCCTCGTAGTAGCGGTTGCGGACGCAGGTGTCCATGAGCTGCGGGATCTCCAGGATCTCCAGGATCTCCGTGTGCCGGTTCAGGGTCAGGCTGTTCATCCGCCGGCTGCAGGCGATAGGCCTCGGCAGTCACGCACGAAGTTCCTGCGGGGCCGGGACGGGGTCAGGGCGGGCTCAGAGCCCTGCCCAGGCTCCCCCCCATCCCTCCCCTGACCCCCGGTGCCCCCGGTACCCCCGGTGCCTCACCGGCAGGCGTCCTGCAGGGCGGGCAGGCGCTCCAGCAGGCTGCCGAGGCGGCTCTCGATGCCGCCGAAGCCGCGGCCGGCTCGGCCGGTGCACTCAGCGGAGCGGATGAAGGCCCGGTAGTGCTCGAAGGCCAAGCGCCGCGTCTCGGCCCCGACCCGCGCCCGCTCCGCCGCCAGCCGCGCCGGCTCCCGGCCCAGCTCCGCCAGCCCCAGCGCCGCCAGCTCGGCCACGTATGCGGACAGCTCGGCCCCCCCGGGCCCCGCCGCCGCCGGGCCGCGCAGCCAGGCCAGCAGCCGCGCCTCCTCCGCCGCCGCCGCCATCGCTTCCTCCCCCCCCCGACCACCGCCTCCCGCCGCCGCCGGTTCCGCTTCCGGTCCCGCCGGTTCCGCTTCCGGCTCGGCCCCGCGTGCGCCGCGCGGGGAGATGCGGCCGCTCACCGAGGCGGAGACACGGGCGGTGTTCGAGAAGCTCGGGAGATAGTGAGTGGGAACGGGAACGGGGCTAACGGGACTGGGGGCACCGGGAACGGGGGTACCGGGACTGGGGGCGCCAGGACGGGGGAGCACCGGGACCGGGGAGGGCACCGGGAACAGGACGGGGGGTACCGGGATTGGGGTAACGGGACCGGGGGTAACGGGACCGGAGGGGGCACCGGGCCCGGGGCGGGGTACCGGGACTGAGGGGTTCTACCGGGAATGAGGGGGTTACCGGGACGGGGATGGGGACCGGGAGGGTACCGGGAGCGGGGGGAGTACCGGGACAGGAGGCACCGGGGGGGGTTTACCAGAACGGCACCGGGGGGGGGGCACCGGGATGGGGGTTACTGGAGGGGGGTGAGGCACTGGGACGGATGGGACACCGGGAGGGGGTACCGGGGGGGGGAGCACTGGGGAGAACCGGGGTGGGGGCTACCGGGATGGGGAGGGGCACCGGGGAAGGGGAGGCACCGGGATGAGGCTTACCGGGGGAGGGGAGGGGGGCACTGGGATGGGGTCACTGGGGGGAGGGTACCGGGGGGCACCGGGGTTGGGGCACAGGGACCAGGGGAGGGCACCGGGATGGGGGCGAGGGCCCTGGGGGGAGGGAACCTTGTGGGGGGGACACCGGGACCAGGACCGGGTCTGGGCCGGTGTCCACAGCCGCTGCCCGTCCCCGCAGCATCGGTGAGAACATCCAGCTGCTGGTGGAGCGCCCCGACGGCACCTACTGCTTCCGCCTGCACCGCGACCGCGTCTACTACGTCAGGTGAGCCGGGGGCCGCGGCTGGGGGCAGGGGGGATCCGTCCCCTCCCTGCCACCCCCTCAGCCCCCCGTGTGTCCCTCTCCCCGCAGCGAGAAGCTGCTGAAGGGGGCGGCCAGCATCCCGCGGGGCAGCCTGGTGGCGCTGGGCACCTGCTTCGGCAAATTCACCAAAACGCAGAAGTTTCGGCTCAACGTCACAGCGCTGGATTTCCTCGCGCCCTACTGCCAAGGTAGGGGCGCGCTCCCCCCCCCCGGCCTCCCCCCAACCCCTCAGCACCCCCCCCCCCGGTGCTCAGTGCGGTGCCTCTGTCGCAGTACAAGGTGTGGGTGAAGCCCGGCTCCGAGCAGTCCTTCCTCTACGGTAACCACGTGCTGAAATCAGGCCTGGGCCGCATCACGGAGAACACGGCGCAGTACCAGGGCGTGGTGGTGTACTCCATGGCCGACGTCCCGCTGGTGAGCCCCGCGCCTCCTGCTGCCAGGCACGGGAGCCAGGCCTGCAGGAAACCTCCCTTTTTCTCTCTCTTTTTTTCTTCCCCAGGGGTTTGGGGTAGCCGCCAAGTCGACGCAGGACTGCCGGAAGGTGGACCCCATGGCGATCGTGGTGTTCCACCAGGCTGATGTGGGGGAGTACGTGCGGAGCGAAGACACGCTGACCTAGGGGAGCGCGGGTGTTCAGGAGCCGTGAGCATTTTTGGGCAGCACGGACTCGTCCTGCCCCCTGCGTGGCAGCAGCGCGCGGCACAGCCAGGAGCTCACCCCGGGCAGGGGGTGGCTGCTGCCCCCATGTGTGTGAGGAGGCACCAGAGCTGGTGCTGCGGTTGCATAAAGCCTGTTCCTTCCCCAAAGCGCTGTTGTCTCGTGTCACTTCTCAGCCTCGATGCCTGCCCCAAGTAGCACAGCACCGCGGGAGGCTCAGGAGATGAAGCCAGAGCAGGGGCAGCCCTGCTGGAGGCTGAGCTGGCACAAACTGATGGCTCTGTTACGGGAGGGACGGAGGAAGGGGGCGGGCAGCTGCCTGCAGGGCAGGGCTCACCCCCAGCTGGTACAGAGGGAGAGCAGCCAGCGCTCCCCCACCACTCACCACAGCAAACATGTTAGAAGCCTTTTTTTATTGGGTTTATCACCAAAAAAGGCAGGTTGAGGCACTGCCTGAAGGCTGGTAGACAGAACAAAACACTGTACAGATACCAAGGGTGTTTCATTCATTTTATTTAAGAGGTGATTTGAGGTAAGGCTGGGTGAGCTCTGCTTCCCCCCCAGCGCAGGACCCAGCTCTCTCCCCGCAGCAGGAGGGGCTGATGCAGCTCGGTGCCGGTGCCGTGGGCGCTGTCAGCACCTGGGCTTGCTGGAGCCCTGCACGTTGAAGAGACGCTTCAAGAAGTAAAGCTGCAGCACCCCGGAGAGGACGATGACACAGCTCTGCGCCATCGACCAGCAGTTGACGTAGTGGTAGTTGGACTCGAGCAGGAAGGAGTCGGCCCCTTTCCTCATCCGGGCGAAGTTGTAGAAGCGCCACATGTGGAAGATGTGGAGCTGCAGCTTGCGAATGCTGACCTGCAGACAGCGCAGCGGGAGGGGAGATCCCTGGGATCCTTCACTCCCAGGCAGCCTGGCTGCGTTATTTCCAGCCCGTTTGGGGTCTGCCTGCCACGCGCCGTGTCACAGCGCTCTGTGCTGGCAGTGGCACTTACCCCGATGGCCTCCAAGGTGTCGTTCAGCTGCCTCCTCTCTTCTGGCTGCTCCTTCTCCGTGTTGAAATTGTCGTAGTAGACCCCAAAGTTGAGGTACACCTGCATGAAGCCGAAGTGGTTGTGCTGGTTGTCCAGGCACAGCTGGTAGAAACCTGCAGGGAGAAGCGGGGGTTTTTGTTCCCTGGGTGGAAAGAGCTGCAGCGGCTTCAAGCCAACACTGCAGGGAGGGTGCTCGGGGAGCTCACAGCCCCCAGGCAGCAGCCCCCTGCCCCTGGGGGGGGGACCAGGGCAGTGGGGACCTGTCTCCCTGGTGGGGAAGTTGATCTGTCCTCGTGCGTCCTGGGAAGCGCCGATCTGGAAGCCGTTGGGGTCGCTCGCTGTGGCCAGGATGATCCTGCTGTTGGCGAAGCCCGTCGCCCGCTGGACCTGCAGGCAGGGGATAGCAAACAGTGCCCTGCCCCGTGGGGATCCCGTCCTCACCCCACAGGGCGCTGCCTAAGGGTGTTTGTGTGCCCAGGGAAGCAGGGAGTGGAGCGAGCAGGGCAGGAGCCCAGCAGGGCCCAGGGGAGGGTTGACCATCGCTGGGGAACTGAGGGTGCCGGCTGCGCCCCAAGGCGAAGGAACAAAAATGCCTGTGTGAGCTGCCAGCTACACCTAAAGAGGAGAAAAACAAAAGCCAAAAGACGTGGCACTGAGAAATTTAACCCTAGGGTTGCTGTGGGTCCCAGGTGTTTGCCAGCAAGGCTCCATGCGCACACCATCAGCCCCGCAGAGCAGCTCCTGGCACAGCTCCTGCTGCCCACAGCCGCCTGGTGCCAGCGCTCTGGGCTGGGCGAGCACACGTTTGGGGACAAAGCTGGGCTCGTGCTAAGTCCCTGCCTGGCACAGGGTGCTGGTTCTGCCCTGCTCCCCTTCAGCCAGGGCAGTGTAAACAGGAGATAAAAGGGCTGGAGTTTCCATCGTGGGAAGGAGACCAAGCACAGGGCCAAGCAGATAGGGCTGTGCGGGGACCTTCAGGTGCTCCGAGGAAAGCCGAGGTCTCCTGCAAGGGCAGTGCCCCCGAAGAGCCAGCTGCTCGTAAACCTGAGCTCCCTCAGGGTACGCAGGCACCACAGCTGGAGCACTCAGCACCTGCTTGCTCTGCACCTACTTAGGGTTTTGGAGCAGGTATTTGAGGAAAAAAAAAGGATTGACAATGAGAACAGAGCTGCCTCAAAAAAAAGAAGTCTGAATCCGCAAGAGCAGCCGTTCCCCACGCAGGACAAACCACCCCTGCCCTGAGGCCAGCACATCTGGAGCTCAGCCAGTGGCTGTCACCCTACGAGGTAAGGTCCCCATCCTCCCTCCCTTCCTTCCCGGTGCCAGCCTGGCTGCAGGAGCAGGCAGGGGGAGAAGTGCCCGCCGCAGGACCCGCCAGCTGCTGCTGGCCATGGAGGCTGCTGTGGGACTGACCCAGCGCCCCGTTCCCGACCCTATTAGCAGAAGCACCACGCTTACAGCCTCGCAGAGCCCATCCCGCAGCTCTCACCTCGTAGCTGAAGAAGAAGTTGCCGCTCTGGTGTGCAAACTGCCAGAAGCACTCGGAGGTGCCGGCGGGGACGATGACGGCGAAGTCGTAGCGATCCGCACCACGGAACAGGGGCTCGTCGCTGGAGCTGCTCAGGGGCTCGGTCCTGGGGCACCCAGCAGGGCCCAGCAGCAGGAGCAGGAGAGCCAGCAGCAGCAGCATGCTGCCTGCAGCCGGGGCAGGAGCAGGGAGCCTGGGGGGGGTAAATCATTAACGGCGCCTGCGCTGCCGCTCGCTCCCCGCTGTCACCTGGCAGTGCCTGGGGCTGGCAGCAGCACGGAGCAGGCTCCGCTCCTTGAGGTTCTCCCTGTGCACAGTGGGGTCAGGCTGCTTCTTCCACGCTGGAGCTCACCCAGCTGAACCCTCCTGCTGAGGATGAGGGATGCTGTGAGGAAGCGCCACGGTCACCAGCAGCAGCTCCTGGCGCACGGAGCTGCTCCTCCTGTCCCCAGCCAGCCTCGGCACCTCTTGCGGAGGAGCCCCAGTCCTTGTGGGCGAGGTGCTTCAGCACAAACATTTCACTCCAAGAAGCACCCAGAGCCCTGTGCAGCTGAGCAGGGCACACTGCTCCCCTGCTGCTCTCCTCTGGCACTCCGGGTGTTTGCCTGGGGCAGGAGCCCAGAGCAGGGGAGGGGAGAGGACATGGAGAAAATGCTCTGCCCCCGCCTTGTCTTCTTCCTCCTGGGCACGCTGAAAGCTCTGCCTCACACTGGCGATTCCTCACCCAGTGCTCGTTTCTTCTCACCAAGCCTGGAGTGAGCCCTACAAGGAGCTGCAGGAGCGGCAGGGCAGGGAAACGCGCAGCCACCACCAGCTGACGGGGGAAGCTCGTGCCAGCAGCTGCCGAAGGGCAGGGCCAAGCAGGTGTTTCCAAACAGAAACCTACCCAGCACCAGCTCCAAAGGAATATGGCCACGAAGCCATCCACAGCTCAGTCCGTGCTGCTGATTTCGTATCTCTGCAGAGCCAACCTCGTAGCTGCCGCAGGTTCCGTCTGCCCCGCTGGCACATGGCCACCGTCCCCGTGGCACCTCACAAGTCCGTGCAGAGCTGTTGGGCTTTCAGGCAGCAGAGCTGCTCACACCTCAGCTGGCAGTGCAGGAAAAAGCTCCAGGGCTACGTGAAAACAGCACAGGGTAATCAGAAGAGTAACAAGAAGAGTAAGAAGATTCCCTGGGCTTCCCCAACTCTTCTGGAGCTGCCGTTTCACCGACGCTTCACTCAGAGCCAGCAGGGGTTGCTTTTAGGACACACCTGTCCCTCTGCCCTTTGACTTCAAGGGAAGCACAGCCCAGCAGGCAATGCTTCATGTCCTTGCCTCACTTTGCACCCTCAGGGCATCTCTGTTCCACCCCACACCGCTGCTGGTGCACCACTCGCAGGAAGCAGACTGGGAACCCCCCACTTCTGGGGCTGCGCACGCCCAGGGACCAGCCGGTGCCCCAAACCGCCTCGCTCCCCTCGGGGCAGCACAAGCTCACACAGCGCGACTCCGGTACTCAACAGGAAAGGAACTTTATTTTATAGAACACCATTCAGACCTGGACTCCAGCCCAGGGCCCTGAAGGCAAGGAACAGCGCTCAGAGCTCACGTGCATGCAGGAACCGCGCACGGAGGATGTTACCAGGAAGGAGACACGCCGGTAAGAGAGGATCGAAGTCATTAAACACTGAGCTGTTTTACATGGAACTAATCAACGTTTAAGTACTGAAAAAGATGCCATTAACGCCTCAGAAAGCAGAGAGATTCTCGCTTGCAGACTAGACATTTACAAAGCAAAGAGCTGTGGGAGTAGAACAGTAACTCACCCTGCCTACAGCTCCAGCCCAGAAGCTTTGGGGCTGTGCTGCCTCTCCCACAAGGGAGAGACGGAAACAAAATTCCAACAGTTAGACAAATTACAACACTAATAGCCACTGATAAAATTCTCCTGTCACTTGACAGTATCTGAACACAGAACTCCTTTCAGCAGCCCATCAGGCTGGTACTCATTCTGCAAAGGCTGCAGCTGTCAGGTGAAGGAAGTCCCGGCACAGGCCATGTCCCAGCACCCACAGTCAGGCTGTGCAGGTTCTACCAGCCGCAGAAGACCTAAACCTGCTACCTACAACTCAAGAAACAAGATTCTTCGGTTCTTGCCACACATGGTTCTATCTGCTGCAGCAGCCTCTGGTACCAAAAGCCAAAATCCCAAAGCTGCTGTGCATTAGGGAAGAGCACCGCAGCCTCACTGCTGCTATTGCTCTGGTCAATCTTTCAAAACAAAACATAAAAAAACAAAACCAGTTTTGCACTGAAGATCCCGTGGCCCCCAGCTTCAGAGCATCCCCAGCCTTTTCATGGTCCGCCAGCGATCCTTGATCATCACCGCCGTGCGGTTCTGGAAGGGGTATCTCTGGCAGATAGACTTCCACCTCCCTTCTCCGTACTTCCTCACTCCATCTTTGATCCACTGACTTTCCTGCGCCGTCCATCTCTACAAAAGAGCAGGTAAGCAGCGTTCTGTGAGTGACGTGCAGCTGCAGGAAGGAGCTGCATTTTGCTGGGACTGCACTGCATTTCTTTCCTAGGGGTTAGCTGTGCCTCATCACCCGTGCTAGGGACATGGAAGAAGGGCAGAGCTGTTCTGACAGCACATGCAACACCCAAAAATCGCCTCATTGCAGATGTGCTCTCATTTCTAGCTGAGAATCACCAAGCTCCAGCACAAGCTCAATAGCTGTGCTTCCCAAACATGCTGCTGATCACACAATCGAGGAATGACTCCCTCACAGCAGCACGGATTTAGTGCTAGAACTGCAAGGTCAGCTCTGCAGGTCCCCTGGTTTCTGTATGGGAGGCAAATCAAGACCTGCAGGAAGCAGTCAGGGGGAACGAGGCGCTGCACTGCGTGGGGCAGCACAGCAGCCAGCTGACATTCACCTCCAGGTTAAGGCTGGAGGAGCTCCTGGAAGCTCCTGGAAGGTGACAGCAGGCACAGCGAGCCTACTTCTGAGGGGCACACGGGAAGGAAAAGGGACTTTGCTCCAACACCCGATGCCTGGCACGTGGGAGGCACACAGCTCTAGCCAGCTACCAAACCGGGCTGCTTTAGCACTGAGACTCAAACCAGCTTGAGGAACGTGAAGATCTGCACAAGGCTGACAGAGGCCAGGCACTGCAGCATCAGCCTCAGCATGAATCTCCCCCCAGCCCAGCCCCCTGGGCTTGGTTTGAAGCAGGGCAGCAGCTTGCCCTGCTGTGCTGAACTGCACCAGGGCCCCCTCACCAACACACAGTGCAGATCACTGACAGTTTGCTCTTCTGTCAAGACACATTTTCATTTCAGACCTTACAGGAAGGATTTAAGGGCTCCACATTACCTGTTTCTTGGAACCAATGACTGCAGAGTTGTGGCCATTTTGCTCAAGTTGTGCTGGAAAACAAGACACGAGGGTTACATTTCACAACAGCTCAGGACACAGACGCTCCCAGGAGACTGCCTTTGGCTTAACTGCTGAACTCTGCAGTTAGCCTACAATAAGAGCGTCCCATGACAGGCAATAAAAACAAATTCCTTTGTCCCTCACTTCTCTGCAGCCCGTTTCAAGCCCCAGTTGCTTTATGGGAAGCCTCCCAGTAAGATCTGCTTTGTTTTGAACTAGCCAATATGTCAAGAACAGGGGCAACCATCCAGGATGCAGCCACGCCATATGCTGAGGCTGGAATTAGGCAGCCTGGAACCAAGCCCACCCCTTCTCACCAGCAGTGCCAGCTGAACTGTGCATATATGTGCAAAGGTAACTGGACTGGAAAACCAATCTGGCTGATAAAGGTAAACTTAACCCTTACTTCATGGCAATAAAAGCACGAACAGGGAAGAAGCTGTACTGCCAGTATTTACACCCTGTAGTTTAAGCATTATTAGTCTGAAACCTGAACGCGTTTCAGGATAGAGGTGCAGAAACCCAGTGCCTCAGCATTGGCTATCTGGCCATTTTGTTGGGCTCCTACAATTTCTGGTTTCAAAACCCACACAGAGGGTAGCACGGCCCCACGAACACGCCACAAAGCCAGGATTAGCCTCAATTAGCAGCCTGTGACAGCAGCTCTGTACCTACCCGCATCTGAGAAGAGCTCTTCCTCATCACTCCAGCTGTCCTTTTGTTCTTCAGTATATAAACTGCTCCACTTTCCTTCGCGGGACCTGAAAGCAGACAAGCATTTACGTCAGCTACCAGCCAGGAGCAGTTTGGGGGCGGGGTGCAGGGCCAGCAGCAGCACAGCAGGCAAGCTTGCAGTCAGCATGCAGGGCAGAGAAGCGTCCCGGGAAGCAAGGAACAAGGCGGGCGCCCCCTCCTCTCCCCTCGGCATGGGGACGAGGTAGGAGCCCCTGCAGAAAGACGGCGCGCGCCACGCAGCCAGCCACGAGCAGCAGCCTGTACTCTGTGACCAGCGTTTCTGAGATCAAGCGACCAGGTTTTGGCAAACACAGCAAGCAAGCTCACACCGCACGGCCCAGGCCATCACCGACGGCTCAAAATAAAGACCTGTCCTAGAGAGCTGCAGGGTACCAAGACAAACCAACAAAACCCAACCACAACAAAAAAAAAATACGGAGAGAGAAAGCGCCGCCACTTGCAAGTCTTTGAAAAGGGAAAGTGGAAATTCCCAGATGAGCCTAAGGAATGGATGAGGTGCCTGCGGGGTCATCTCCTCTCAGGGACATCTCTGACAAGCTCAGTGCCGAGCAGCACAGGGCACGGGAGGTCTCACACCACCACACCAGCACGCGCCGCAGCTCTGCCTGCAGCCACTCCTCCCCTGTGCCTCAGAGCAGGGCAATCCGCCTGCGAGGCCAAGCTCCACAGCACACCACGACCTGCACTGCTCTCCCTTCAAAGCCAAACTTCAGGTTCTGAACTCTTCATCCAGAAGATCAGGGGAAGGCGTTTCTCCTTTCTGAGCACTTCAAGCTACCTTCACGCAAGCCTCCCAGCTTTGCTGCTGGGGATCCGAGCGTTCCTGCTGCCTGCTGCGCACCCTCACTAGCCAGAGAACAGCAACGTGAGCAGGAAGCCCTGCTACACCTCACCACGGCTTGCCAAAGGCAATACTCATGAAACTTTCCTTAGCAGTATGAATTTCCGTAGCAGTATGAATTTCAGACCTCTGCCAGTAAGCGTACTTTGCTGTTTTCTGTAGGAAACCCTTACAAAAATGAAAACCCTCAAACACCCCTGCCTCCTACAGCACAGTCGCTTCAGCTACAAGCTAAGAGGAGAGCTGCAACGAGGGGGTTCTCATCCAGCAGAGGTTTCAGGAAAAAGAGCACGAGCTCAGCGCTGTGCTCTCGGGGGGGCGGTTACGCAGCTGTGCCTGCCAGGATTGCCTCCAGCACTGACTGCACCAAGTGACTCGCTGCCTGCGAAGCTGGGTGAGTTTCTCACCTCCAGCACACGAACAAAGAGCCCTAAGGACAGCTTACTTCACCTAGCTCCACGTACGCTAGTGGGCAAGGATGGGCACTACGGGCATCCTGAGCTAAAGGTTTTTGCCGTTCGCTTCACTAAAGGCAGCTGCAAGTCAGAATGCTGGGTGCAATTAGGCTATACCACAAGAGATGGGCTCCGTACTTGGCATTTTCGGTAGACTCTTGCTGGTTGGGCAATTTCTGAACGGATTTAGAGGCAGAAGATACAACTGGCTCCTGGGAAGAGTCTGGGCTTTCACTTGACTCGTTGCTCTGGCTGTCGTGCTCCATGACAAGTTCACTTATGGTCAAGCGTTTGACCTTATGAGGAATCTCAGGAGGGTCTGAGATTTCAGAATCTTGATTTTCCTCTTCCTTCCGTCTCTTGTTTCTGTGGGATACAGAAGGAGACAGTTGCTTGGGTAAAGAAAAGTCTGTTTCATCCAGTTTGGTGAAGAGCGCATCTGCGTCCGGGGAGTCTGACAGGATCTTGAAAGCTTCTCTCAGAACAGAAATCCCATACGTGGTTACAGTTCCAGGCGGCTGCCTACAAAATAAACAGAACTGAGCAGCTTGTAGACGTCCCACCGCAACGGCTCCGACATCGCTGACATCAGGCTTTTCTCCTCTGCTGTGACCCTCAACAACTCACCCTGACCCCAGGGTGCTAACGTCTGCTGAGGGCACTCCCAGCCCTCCCACACACCAACACCCCCCAGATTTCTCTGCCCACCTTTCTGAGTCCCTGGAAGGCATTTCTGCAAGCTCTGGAGCTGCTGCCGCTGGCTGCTCGGTTATTTCCATACGTTCTGAAACGTCTTGCAGGTTCTTAACCGCTGCTATTACGTGCTCAGGAGCTGCTGCAGGGCACCTGCTTGCTTCCATGGGCTCAGGAACTC